CTATGTACATTAATGAACTTTAGAAAATGTCTTAACATTTTAGGCAAGGGCCCAAGGGTGCTGTCGGGTGCAGGACAGCACATGTCAAGTCCCTGCAAAGGTGGGGAGAGAAAGCTTGGGAGGCTGGTGCTATGGGCATGTCGAGAATAAGGCAGGCAGGGGCACAGGCCATGGTGAAGACCTGAGGTTTATTGTAAGTTCAGGGAATCTAATGAAATCAGCAATGTAATATTTTTATTTATTTCCAATTAATTACTTAAAAATATTTTTGCAGCAAGGGAAGAGCAAGAGAAACCTATTGTTTTGTCCCATGTGCAGATCCTTCTCCACCTGGGAAATTCCTCATTCAGTTCCTCAACTAATGGTCAGCCGAGGGCAACTTGAGTCGAGTAGATGCTTGTCAATAACTACTAACACTCTGGGAATAGTTCGGGTCCTACTTTGTGCTAAATGCCTCACATTCACTATTTCATTTCCTCTCCATCTACGAGATAAGTATGTCGGTACTGCAAATGAGGAAGTGAAGGCTCCACACAGTTAAGCAGCTGGCTCTGGTCAGCCACGGAGCTGCACCCTTTACATCCTCCCCTCCCTCCTCCACTGTTTCCTGCTCGCAGTGTGCTCAAACCTCCTTACCAGCAATGAGTACGTCACAGGTGTGATGGCCTTGCCTTCAGCCTGCTCACCCTCAGTTTTCCCTTTGATTTTCTTTTTCAAAAGTTCTCCCCACTCTGGTTTTTATAGGTGTATTCTCTTCAAATGTGCTCTGTCCCTTTGAAGCAGTCTCCTTCATCCCCAGAAGTTGCTTCCCTTACATTTTTTTTTTTTTTGAGACAGTTTCAAGCTGTCACCCTGGGTAGAGTCCCATAGTGTCATTATAGCTCACAGTAACCTCTAACTCTTGGACTCAAGTGATCCTCTTGCCTCAGTTTTTTTCTATTTTTAGTAGAGACGGGGTCTTGCTTTTTGCTCAGGCTGGTCTTGAACTTGTGAGCTCAAGCAATCCACCCACCATGGCCTCTCAGAGTGCTAGGATTACAGCTTTACGCTCTTTTTAATTTTGTGTCTCTGCCCATGGCACCACCATCCCACGACGGTGGACGGTTCCTGATCCATCATTTAGTAAGCAAGTATTTCATTGATTTTTAATCAACAATAGCTATTGAGCACCTACTGTGTACAAAGCACTGTGCTAGACATTGACGAGGATACAAAGAGTAGGACAAGGTCTTCAGGGCAAGGGAGAAGGGTTTGTTCTTGTTGACACAGTTATATATATTTATATATATACATACACATGAAAGCCATACTATGTATATATATTATCATAAACCATATTATGTAAATAAAATAATAAATATGTATTTATTATATATGTATATTGTATATTATACATATACATATTATATATATATATTGTATATGTGTGTGTCTGGGGGCAAGCATGTTGTAGGTGCTTGGTAAATATTTTTTTGAATGATGATTTAATTGGGGAGACAAACTCATACACATAATTGGCTCCAATTTGGTGTGAATGAAGAAAGTGGTGTAATAAAGGTATTGGAAAGTTCTGAGAGAGAGCCAAAGGAGTGTGCGAGCAAAGGGAAGTCTTTTTTTTTTTTTTTGAGACAGAGTCTCAAGCTGTCACCCTGTGTAGAGTGCTGTGGCGTCACAGCTCACAGCAACCTCCAACTCTTGGGCTTAAGTGAGTCTCTTACCTCAGCCTCCCAAGTAGCTGGGACTACAGGCACCTGCCACAATGCCTGGCTATTTTTTTGTTGCTGTTGTCATTGTTGTTTTAGCTGTCCTTGGCAAGTTCCAACCCACCATCCTCTGTGTATGTGGCCGGCGCCCTGCCAACTGAGCTATAGGCGCTGCCCAGGAAGTCTTAACTGGATCTTTATTGAGGTGACATTGGCATTAAGCCTTTAAATCACCCCAAATCCCAGGGTGTGCAAGAACCAGTAAGTGGTATGGTGTGGTCAAGCGTGATGCAGGAGGTTGTGGAAGATGGATGAAGTGACATGATCCAACTGTGTTTTAGGAACCTCACTCTGGTGCCCATGCAGAGAATGACTTTTTTGGAGGGGAGAGACTTGGAGTGAAAAGTAAGGCAGCTGCTGCATCATCTGAACACTGATTGCCCGTGCAGCACATGAGGCCAAAGGCAGAGTGAAAACCAAAGGGGAAGGATAGATGCAGTACTACTGCAGGAGTGCAATCCATGAGACTGGATGAGAGAAGCAGCAGGAAGCTTCTTACCTGGGTACCTGCATGGTGGTGGTGACATTTCTCAAACAGGGAAAAGTGGAGAAGAGGCAGATTTGATAGTACTAGAGAAGAAATAAAGCTTTATTTTGACTTTTTTTTTTTTTTTTGAGACAGAGTCTCACTTTCTTGCCCCCAGTACAGTACTATGGCATCATAGCTCACAGCAACCTCACTCTTTTGGGCTCAAGAGATCCTCTTGCCTCAGCCTTTCAAGTACCTGGGACTACAAGGACCCACCACAATGCCCAGCTATTTTTTAGAGACTGGGTCTCACTCTTGCTCAGGCTGGTCTAAGTGATCCAGCGGCCTCGGCCTCCCAGAGTCTGGGGATTACAGGCGTGAGCCACAGCACCTGGCCCTTTATTTTGACCTCTTAAATTGGAGAGGCTGGTGGAGTAAACAAGTGGAGATATCTAGCAGAATGCTAAAATCTAAGCTTGATTTCAGAAAATTGGGGGAGCTTTTGCTGATGCAGCTACTGACATGAGGGGAAGAGATGTAATTTCTGGGAGAGACTTTTTACTTACATAGACAAGGGGGGTGATGACTGTGAACACCTGTTGAACATTTCCATATTTCTGTTTTGTGGGAATCACAAATTCAACATGTCCAAAACACAACTAATCATCTTCCCACCAAACCTGTTTGTCTTCTTGACTTCTCCAGCTGTGTGGATAGCACCGACCATTCTCTTAGTCACTCTGGCTTGAAATCCCAGCCATCTTTGTCTCTTCCCTTCGCTCTTTACACATTAAGTTTCACCTGAAAATCCACAAAAACAACACTTGGAGAGGTATTCATTTATAATGAAACTATTTTGGATGTCTTGTAGTCTATCATTCTAGTCATAGTCTTATGCAAATATTAATTTAATTTCCTTTACACATGAATCATAGTCTACATTGTTAGATTAACCTTTTTATTGAAGTATAGCAGTCATGCAGGAATGTATACCATCATAAATCAATGACTTTTCATGTCATTAAATATTCTTTCACAACATCAATTTGGAAAGGTTGCAAGGTATTCCATCCATAGATGTACCATAATTTAGTTAACTAATCCTTATTGTGGGATTTCTGGCTTTTCTAGTCTCATCTCTCTTTCAGAAATACTGCAGAGATGAATTTACCGATATTTAACATTTTTGTGCCTATTTTCAATTTTCCCTTAGAATAAAATTTGTAGGGGCAGAATTTCTGGGTCAAAAGGTATGTGCATTTTAAATAAACCTTTAATTTTAGAAGAGTATTAGATCTGGAGAGAAATTACGTGCACATTACAGTTTCTGTATAATCCACACACGGTGTCTTCTATTAGTCACATCTTATGCTAGTATAAGTACACTTGTCACCATTAGCCAATATTGCCACATCATTATTAACTAAAGCTCACATCCAGATTTCTTTAGTTTTTATCTAATGTCCTTTTCCCTTCTATATTCCACAGAAGATTCCACATTACAGCTAGTTGTCACGTCTTTTTTTTTTTTTTTTTTTTGCACTTTTGGCCAGGGTAGGGCTTGAACTTGCCACTTCTGGTATATGGGGCTGGCGCCCTACTCCTTGAGCCACAGGGGCCTCCCTGTCACATCTTCTTAGGCTCCTCTTGGCTGTGACAGTGTCTTAGACTTTCCTAATCTCTAATTTTGAGGAATATTGGCATTCATTCTGCAGAATGTCCCTCAGCTGGAGGTTGTTTGATTTTTTTCCTTTTTTTTTTTTTGGAGACAGAGTCTCACTCTGTCATCCTGGGCAGAGTGCCATAGTGTCATAGCTCACAGCAACCTTAAACTCTTGAGCTCAAGCTATCCTCTTGCCTCAGCCTTCCAAGTAGCTGGTATTACTATGCTGGGCTATTTTTAGTAGAGATTGAATCTTGCTCTTGCTCAGGCTGGTCTAGAACTCCTGAGCTCAGGAGATCCATCGGCCTCAGCGTCCCAGAGTGCTAGATTACAGGGGTAAGGCATGGCACCCAGCCTCCTTTCCTTATGTTTAGTTTGGGGTTACATGTTTGTAAAGAAAGTGCCACAAAGTGCCACTCTCAACAGGGTACATCACTGTTAATGTTAACGTTGCTCACTTGGCTCAGGTAGTGCTTACCAGGTTTCTCTGCTATTAAAGTTACTCATTTTTCTCCCTTTTTCATACTGTCCCCTTTGGAAGGAAGTCACTATGCACAGCCTCCACTTGGGAGTTATGTTCTAGGGTGGAGATTCTAACTGAATTATTTGTGATTCTTCCGTGGGAGATTTATTTTCCTTTTCCCTCTTTATTAATATATTCAATAACTTATGTCAGTATGAGCTCACGAATATTTCTTTTAGATTCTAACAGTACTTTACTAGTTTAATTGCGCAAGACATGAACATGTGTATTTTTAAGGTTCTGAGTAACTCAATGTAATTCATCCCTCCCAAAGGTTGTACCAACTCTCATGGTTACGAAATGTCATTAAAATACATGTCCTCTATGAAAGTAGGTCAGAGTGAAACTGACGGCCCTTCCCGGGCCCAATTTTTTGACGCCCACAAAGAAGATGGGGCCAGCAAGCCAGGTCTTTCCCCCGGGACACCTCACCCTCGGGGACACCCTGGACGCGCCGCCCCTCCTGTCCGGACTTCGGGGCCTACTGTCCCTTTTCCAGGCTTCTCCGTGGCCCCGCCCACTGTGGGCGGAAGCCCTGGGTCGGGGCGGAGCCTCTTGCGCCATCAGCTCCTCCCCTTCCGTCGCCCCACCTCTCCGGCCCAGACCGGAAATGAGGTCAGAGAGGGAAACCCCGGCTGGGAGCCTCGGTCCAAAAAGCAGCGGCCGTCGGCGGTGGCTGCGGCAGCCGGTGAGGGGGCGGAGGGGGTTGAGAGGGTTGGGATCCTGGGGGCGCAGGGCCGGAGGAGATCGGGGCTCCGGGCTGCGGCTGAGTAGCTAAGGGCTTCTTGGGGCCGTGGCGGCCGGCGGGATCGGCGAGGGTGGCCGGGCCTTGCTTTTCAGGGCCCGTGTCCCCAATCCCGGGGATGAAGGGTGGGCGGCCCCTTGGGCGACAGTCCCTCCTCTGGCTTCCTTCTGTCTCTCTTGGGCCGGAGACAGCGCGACCCGAGACCATGGTGTCCTGAACCATGGTCGCACTAGCCCTGGGGGACGGGCTGGAGAGTGGAGGAGAGTCCTTTGAAACACGGTTTTTCTCAGCATGTGGCCATGTTGCGACTGCTGATCACGGAGGGAGCCAGTCTCCAAGGACTTGCTTTTTGGCAGTTTCTGCCCTAGAAAAGCTGACCCCTTCCCCCTGGTGAGCCCAAATGAGAAGTTGCCTCCTGATCCTACCACCTTCGACTCCGTCCCCTCCTTCCACCCTGACCCTGCCTCTCACTTGGTGCCCACTAGCTCTCCGTTTCTTCTGGTGTTTGACAGCCTTACCTCTACCCCGGGTGCGTGCCTGGACCCGGAGTTCTCTAGGCATGTACCCCCGAAACTGGAGGTGTGGAGTCCCAGGGTGCGTCTCTCACCTACTGTTAGAGTTGTAGTATTTGAGACAGGAAGGATTCTGCACAGGCCTTTGTTTACAAGTTGTTGGGTAACTTCATTTCACTTTCAAGTTTGTGCTGTTCTGCCTGAATTTTTAAAGCAGTAGTTTTTTATTAAGGAAGTAGATTTAGACGAGCTCTTCCCACTTCTTTATCTATTTTGGTCTTAGGGACAGTTGACTCCCACAGCTCAGTCATGGTGTTTTAAATCACTTTTTATTGCTAAAAGGAACTTGGTCATATGGGTGTGCCTTTGACACTTGGAGAAGTTTTATTTAGGTGGCAGTTTGGGAAGTAGGTGTCACCATTGCTTCCAAAGATATGGCATATAAGCCAGAAGAGCACAGCATGAAAATAGGTTTTAGAAAGCACTCTGCAAAATGAAAACTGTATGAACGGAAATATGGTCTTGACAGTGGTGCCACATAGAGTTGTAAGCTCTAATTATGGTCTCCAAATACTTTGGGCTTAACTAGGGCAAGGAACAGGTGCTAATTTAATTAGGTGGTGTACAAATTATATTAGAAATTTCCCTTTAAAAGAGAAACTACTCTCATTCCTTTACTAATTTACCTTTGAAGCGACCCCTGAAGTGTGATGGTTTGATGAGCAGGACTCAGAAAAATGGGAAAGTTTGGAAAGCAGTTGGCTGGAAATCTTAGAGGTTCTATCCCATCTTTGTCATTTCAGTTGCTGTTATATCCTATTTTTATGTGATTGTGTGGCAGGAAAGCACGTAATTAGGATGGGAGGAGAGAGAGCTTAAAAGTTGTGAATTACTCAAAAATACATGACATACTCTGTAAGGTTCTGTACCTTGTAGCTTCCAGGTGGTAGTTGGTACCAGAATGAGTGTAAACGTAATCTGTTTATTTCATTCCGAGTACAAACCTGTGTCACTACAATTCTTAAAACACTAAGACTGCAAAAAGTCTTCCGTAAAGTGTGTCACTAAGTTGCTCTGTTCTCTGCTGCAGGCAATCAGCAGTGTTCCCAGACCAAAGAACAGTTTTTCACCCATTCTCAATATCTTCGTGAGACTGGGACCTACCTATGTTTTCCCCAGTTCTGCTGTGATTTTGAAGTTATGTGTTTTTCTGCTCCTCTCTGATGAGATATTCTCTAATCATTTTGAATCTCATCATTAGGTTCATTTAATGACAAGGCTAATTGAGGAAAACAGAAAAGGACCTAGTCCCAGTTGTCATCTAGTGGGTGTTTTGAGTTTTTGTGCTTCAGAACATGTTGATTCTGGGCATTTAACAAGGGCCAGACACCTATTTTTAGTGGCTTAAGGGAATGTAGATGGTAGGAACAGAGTCTAAGTGTGGCCAAATGAAAGGTGACTTTATTTTCTATGGACAGGCAAGATTCTAGAGCACCATGATCTATTTGATAAAATTATTCTAAAACCACCGATCCTATTCAGGCTTTCTTTTTTCTTTTCTGTCCCCCCTCCCACCTTCCTTTTGGCAGATGTGGCCTCATGGATGAACTGGTACATGACTTAGCCTCAGCCTTGGAGCAGACATCTGAGCAGAAAAAGCTTGGTGAGTTGTGGGAGGAGATGGCCCTGAGCCCTCGGCAACAGAGGCGGCAGCTTCGGAAACGCCGAGGCCGGAAGCGTCGTTCTGACTTCACTCATCTGGCAGAGCATACCTGCTGCTACAGTGAGGCCTCTGAGTCAAGTCTGGATGAGGCCACTAAGGACTGTCGAGAAGTGGCCCTGGTCACTAACTTTAGTGACTCTGATGACACAATGGTGGCCAAACGGCACCCAGCTCTCAATGCGATTGTTAAGAGTAAGCAGCATTCTTGGCATGAATCTGACTCTTTTACTGAAAATGCACCTTGCCGACCACTTAGGCGCCGAAGGAAGGTGAAGCGAGTGACATCAGAGGTGGCTGCCAGCCTTCAGCAGAAGCTGAAGGTGTCAGATTGGAGCTATGAGAGAGGCTGCAGGTTCAAGTCTGCTAAGAAGCAGCGTCTGTCTCGCTGGAAAGAAAATACGCCCTGGACTTCATCAGGCCATGGGTTGTGTGAATCAGCAGAAAATAGAACTTTCCTAAGCAAAGCAGGAAGGAAAGAAAGAATGGAGTGTGAAGGTGATGAACAAAAACAGGGCTCTGATGAGAACATGTCAGAATGGTGAGATCTCCCTTACTAAGTCAAAGATTTTCCTGATTAATTTTAACCCAAATGCAAATCTAGTCTTGATAAGTTCTGCTTTCTTTCATCAGCCATTCTAGCATTGATTTGGTAGCTTTTCTTTAATCAATCAGTAATTTATTTCTAGCTTTTATAATATTGTCATAAATCTATTTCCCTCTGTCAAGAAGGCTAGATGTAATAGAAATACATTTGTTTCTAAAACCAAGAGTTTGATTTTGAAAAACAGTTTCCTTCCTTTTAAGCCACATAGTTCATACATACATACTGATTTTTAGAACTCGGGTCTTAGCAGAGGCTGGCTTATATAAATGTAACTGGTAAGCTACCTGTCTCCCTTAAGAATCATGGCTTTAGATACTTGTTGGCTATAATTCTGTTCTCTACTACTTAAAATTTGACTATATTGAGTTTATTTTCTATGGCTGACATTCAAGTTGTCTGAACACATTTTGGGCTTTAAAACTAATAGCACTGAGTCCTGTTATTCTTATAGCAAAGATGATCAACCAAGAAAATTTCTCTCTAGTGAGTGCATGTTTAAAATGTCAGTTTTGGTAACTTTTTAATTTTTTTACATTTCTGATAGTTCTAGAACATTGATTATCCCCCCCTTGATACTTTAATGTTATTAAAGTTAATCTGTGATCTGTTTCTTAATGAGGATGCTAGTCGTGTTTTGGATGGGATGATTCTTTGTGGTACATTGAAGGATATCCAGCATCCCTGCATTGTTCTCACCCCCTTTTCCTTGTATCAACCCAAATGCCCTCAGGGGTGTTCTCTGGGTGGGTTGAGTACTCCTGGGGAGAACCATTGTATTCGATTTTTCTATTATTGTCAATGTTAGTTAGCATTTATTAAGCCCTAAATGTATGCCAAGCCAAGCACTGTACTACAAAGGCCTGACACATATTCCTATTTAGTGTTCACAGTTCCACTTTGCATTTTATAGAAGAGGAAACTGAGGTTATATGAGAGTTTAGATAATTGGGCTAAGGTCAGCCATTGCCAACACTGGGAATCAAGCTGATTCCAAAGCTCATTCTTAGCCATCTTGTTTTGCTGCCCTTTGAGTTTGCCTTTTCCATGACCCCTTTGTGTCTCAACTTTCACAACTGTAGAACTTATGACCTTTTTGAAGTTTCTCTTAAAAACAAAGACATAAATCTCAGGAACTCTGAGGTGAGGCTGTGTCAGTAATAGGAAAAGCTGTTGAGATCTGTATGCCTGCACCTTTCATGGATGGTTTTAAATCCTGCTTTGAAGTTTTTTCTTATTAACTTTATATTTGCCAGCCTGCTCAAGTTTATCAAAGTAAGCTCCTAATTTGGCTTTTCTTATTTTCCTCTAATGCCTAAGTATTTCCAAGACCTATCTACCCAATTTGTATGTTTATTTTGGATTATAAAGGTATTTTTTCCTCGTACTGGGCCTGAACCCACCACCTCCAGCATATGGGGCCAGTGCCCTACTCCTTTGAGCCACAGGTGCCGCCCCCTCATACTATTTTTTAATCAAATAAGAAATGTTTAGTCAATTTGTAGCCTTTCACACTATTGAAACTGTCCTTTGCGGCATTCAAGTTTGCTTTAATATTGAGTATATATACCCAATGGAACTCTTACTGTTGAGAATGGTGATTTTAAAAATAGATCTTTTGATGATAGCTTGTGCATGTTTCTTCCCCAGAATTTCTTTTTTTTAAAAAAAATTTTTTTTAGCCCTCGGTTGAGTGCTGTGGCATCACAGCTCACAGCACCCTCCAACTCCTGGGCTTAGGCGATTCTCTTGCCTCAGCCTCCTGAATAGCTGGGACTACAGGTGTCTGCCACAACACCTGGCTATTTTTTTGTTGCAGTTTGGCCAGGGTCAGGTTCAAACCTGCCACCGTCGGTATATGGAACTGGCCCTCAAGCCACTGAGCCACAGGTGCTGCCCCCGAATTTCTTGTTAAACTTTGACATAAGTGTGTGTGTGGGGGGAATGTTAACTGTCTGCTCTAAGATGACAGCAGAGCCTGTGACCTAGCAGTGAGGGGCTTCAGTCTTTCCTGTTCCTTTTGACCCCAGACACATCTATCGCACATTATAGTTGGGTAGTAATATAAATTCTAGTTATCTGAGAGTCTGGATAAATTGAAGTAGACAGGAATTTTTATGAAATTCTTACTTTTTTCAAATCGAGGAGACCTCAATCTTCCATTTGGGACATCATTTCAGAGGTTTTTTTGGTAATGTGGATGCCAAAAGCCTTAGAGCTATAAAGGACTAATGGGTGGGGTGGTAACACACATGGAATGAGAAAAAGTCTTCTTTAAAATCTTCTAATTATATCTCAAATTATGTCTTGATTCATCTGCAGTTACAAAGGGAAGTGCTTTGTAGTTTTCCCGTCTACCTCCATTTTATGGGGAAAGGAGTTGATTCTTACGTATTCTTTGACTGTGTGTCGTGTTCAGCCTCTCCTCAACAATAGAGTAGAAGAGGAATCTCTGAGGTTTCAAGCTGCCCTTAGTGAGCATACCTTATGACCTAGCGTTAGAATATAAGTAGATAGTAGTTTATGATTTGGATACTATGTTGCCTTGGTGAGTTCATTCTGTTAATATTTTCCTATTTTTTTGCAGCATTAAGAGAAATACTTTCAAGGGTCCTCTTGGTTACTCTTTCATAAACCTGCTTGGATTTGTCACTGTTTATGCATATGCAGATCAAAGTGTAGAAGTTTACTTTTTATCAGTGGTGTTGAGGGTTGACAAGGTAGTAATCCACCGTGTAAAATTTTTAAGGTAAAGTTGATCTTTAAGCTTGGCCTTGTCAATGGGTAGAGTTTTTTAAAAAACATGCTTTGGATATTTTACATTTGAAAATGTATGTCTCTGTCAGCTTTATTTCTATTAATAGTTTCCTTAAGCTTACTTTTTGCTAAGGAAACACGGAGTAGTTTTTGTTTTTTTTTTTTGAGAAAGAGCTTCAAGCTGTCCCCCTAGGTAGAGTGCCATGACATCACAGCTCACAACAACCTCCAACCCCTGGGCTCAAGCGCGTCTCCTGCCTCAGCCTCCCGAGTAGCTGGGACCACAGGCACCTGCCACAACACCCGGCTATTTTTGGGTTGCAGCCGTCATTGTCGTTTGCAGGCCGAGGCTGGATTCGAACCTGCCACCTTGGGTGTATGTGGCTGGCGCCTTAGCCACTTGAGCCACAGGCACCAAGCCAACATGGAGTAGTTTTAAGATTCACCAATATTTCTGTTTGCTTTTTTTTTTTTTTCCTTTTGAGACAGAGTCTCACTTTGTCACCCTTGGTAGAGTGCTGTGGTGTCATGGCTCACAGCAATCTCAAACTCTTGGGCTCAAGTGATTCTCTTGCCTCAGCCTCCCAAGTAGCTGGGACTACAGGTGCTGCCACAGTGCCTGGCTATTTTTAGAGACGGGGTCTTACTCTTTGTTGTTCAGGCTGGTCTCGAACTCCTAAGCTCAGGTAGTCTACCTGCCTTGGCCTCCCAGAGTGGTAGAGTTACAGGCTGAGCCACTGTGCCCGGCTGCTTTTCTCTATCTGACGTTCAATTCTGTACCGACCAATCCCTCCTGAGTTCTGGGGTAACTGAAAGTGACTGTAATAGCTTTTGTTTATGCCTGCATAAAGATCAAACTGTTATTTTAACATTTTTCTGTGTATGTATGTGCATATTCTAAAATATTCTTGTAAAATTACTTTCTACTGATCTGTATTTAAATTGTCTATAGCGGCTTGGCGCCTGTGGCTCAAGCGGCTAAGGCGCCAGCCACATACACCTAAGGTG